TACAACACCATGGACAGTCCCCTGGGTGGTGTGCAGGCAGTGCCTGTAATAGTACCATGCGTCAGCCCAGGGGAGTGTGTGTCCAGCCGTGCGTCATTCTAATGCCCTGCCGGTGTCCATGCGCAAGGCTGCGGAGTTTTGAACCCGCAACCTCATACCACAATGCGCATTTCCAACCGGTGCTCTAACCACTGAGCTAACCCGTTACTAAAACTAACACTACCACCGACATCGCCCTGCCCCCAAACTATGGATTCGACTTTCATTCCACCACAATCCGTTCGGGAACGCACGAGATATGTGTTTCCCACGTCACCCCTTCTCTCCGCCATAGCTCCTACGCACCACCTTTTCTACTAACACCCTCCTTACCAACTTTTTACTCGTTCTGATCGCATAATCGGGGCCGCCATCCCTAAGAACCCCCGAAACGAATCTTCCCTTGCCCAAAATCATTGAGAATTGGGCAGGATATGCTCATTTCCTTCTTCTTCTTTTCCTCCTTCCGCCATCTCCCGCGCACTAACTTTGGTGTTAGCTCTCATCCAAATCACTCTCCCTCCAAACTAACCTCATCATTGGATTCGCCCGGGGCAAAAACCCCGGGATTGTCTCTTGCCTCTCTCGATTCCGCTAAGGATCGAGAGAGTTACGTTCCTCTCACTGCGCCCAACTCACCACCCCGCCATCTCCAACTCTTCCTACACCAAATGTACCCGGCGCGCTTTGCGTCCAGGTTCATTCGCCGTCTTCAAGTGTTGTGCTACCTGTCTCCCCCGCTCGCTTTGCCTCTGCAGCGTCGCTATTCCCTGTCGACGCCCGTCGCCCGCTGCTACGCAGCGCTGCCCAGCCTCCTCCTCTGCTACCTATCCACTGTCGAACCCACCCGACGCAATATCGTGCCCGGGTTCATTCATCCCTCTTCTTGCTGCTTTCCGTCCTCCTCCTCGCCTTCACCGGCCTCCCTCGGGCCGACTCAGCGTCCGGCAGTAGCCGGCTCTTCAGACGCACGAGCTGTTTAGCAGCTCCAACTTTCTGCCATGTGACTTTCGGAAGAACCAAGCTACTCGACGGCTCGGTTAGTCTTTCGGCCCTGTACTACCCGGCGACTGGAGGGCCGCAGTACCGCTGCGGGTCTTGACAAGGAGGCCCTCTCTGCAGCGGCCTGCCCAAACAGGACTCGCCCGCCCCGCTCAGCTCTACTCGTCCTTCTCACTTCGCCCCCGCTGCTCCGCTCCTCCTGCTACTGAGGCAGCATCCGGCCGCAGCGGTCTCGTAACGCCCAATAAGGCCTGATCTTCAGGCGGTTTTAGTTCGCCCTTGGCCCCTATACTCCGCCCGACATCTGTGCGGCCAACTGGCTTCACTGACAGCATGCTACCACCTCCCCTGCTTGCCTTACTCCGGCTGAGCCTGTCACCACCTCAGGCCCACAATGGGCATACCAAGCATAGACAACGGTCACAGTACCGGTGACGCGGGCCTGCTACAGACCCGTGATATGGCCCGAGGTGCCGCAGGTACCAACACGGGTCTTGGTGGTAATAGCAATATTCAAATGAGAACTTTAAAGACCGTAGTGGGGGAAAGGCTCCACGTGGCTGGTCCTTGCAGTCCGCGGCCCACTCGGAATGTTTCTCCCTTAGGCTATCGATGCTCTCCAAGTGGGAAACGAGGGAAGCCATGACCAAGGACCCCGCCACTCTCACTTGCAATGGCCTTTTTGGTCCGTGCTCCGATGCGGACAGGATTCTGCCACGCCTCGACCCCGTTGGAGTCTCGATGGACCTGCTCAAGGCCTTCACCTGCCATTTCGACCACTGCGCCCTGGCGATGACCTCAGAACCGATTACCGAGGTAAGGAAGTAAATAAAAACAATAGAATAAATAAAATTTGAAAATAAAAATAATTGTCGCGTGTCCCGCTGGCCCCCAACGCCGCGTACACCCAGGCTCCGTATAGTCGTGCCTTGCCGCTAATACCTCTCGGGCGCCGCTAACCCAGGTGAGGCCCTAAGCTTCCTCTTGCGTGCGCACCGTCAGGCCGACGAAGCCACACTGGTGCGATTTGCAGAAGACACTCCAAATACCCTTGTAAGGGTGTTTGGTACAACAGCCCCCTCTGGGAATACCTCTAACGCAAATGCATTATGGACCCACCGGCGCACCAATTAAGCCACCGCGTTAACGGCTTAAAAACGTGGAGGTACTGGCGGTTTAAACTCAATCAGTTACTTCAGTGTGCACACACACAATCAATGTGCTATTACAAGGGTGAAAAAAAAAAAAGACAATGCCACTGCCAGCTGTAGCAATGCATCAAATTATCACTCTCCTGCATCAGTTCCATTATGACATTCAGCTGGCAGTAGCGTTGTCTTTTTTTTTTTTTTTTTTTTTTTTCACAGAGAGTTCGAGCCCTTTACTTGTTTGGTCTGGTCACTTGTTAGGTATGTGCAGCATGCACTGGACCTGGCTGAAGGCACGCATACGTAACCGTCGAGAAACAGTTTATGAATTCGAATGCTGGTGCGTACAATAATGTTAGGGGCCCCACCCATCTCAGAAAAAGGTGGTGTGCACCATACACTGACACGCAGGTCCACCTGGATCAGGGTGGTGTGCACCATACGCTCACACGCAGGTCCACCTGGATCAGGCTCATAAAGCCTTATTTTAAGCTACTTATTATAATTTATATGTATTCATTTAGGGAAAATTTTTGAAATGCCCCTGAAGTTTGCATTTATTTGCGATTTGCCCCTCCGACGGCTGACTTACCCTGATTTGCCCCTCCGACAACGATTCAAGTTTCCAAAAAACCCTGGCGTCAATTGGGCCTGAAATATGTTCAATATGCCCCTACTGGTACCAGTGCCAAATTTCCAGTATGCCCCTACCGGAGAGCCGA